AAAAACCCCCCCCCCCCCCCCCCCACTGCAGAGCCACTGAGTTTGCACAACTCCCAGCTGCAATCGGCTTCATTGTCAGGGTTTCTCCATTTAATGCAATCTCAGAGGCTCTTCCCCAGGCACTCTGCAGTGAGGGCTTCGTAAAGTGGTTATTTTCTTCCTTGGGCAAGGGTAAGGATGAGTCTCCAGCATCAGCTTGCAAAAATGAATCATTTCTTCCTGGAGAAAGGTGCTTGATGTCAGATTACAGAAAGGCATAAATAGAGCCGCAAGACAACATTTGGTATATTGAAGATTTAGAGGGCAGGCTTAGTCTTCTGGTTAAGGTAAGATTACAGAAAATTCCAGGAGTTCTCTGAAATGAATATGGAGGAATATGGGGGAATAGCTAGGCTGGGATGAGGTATGTAGTTGAGGCCATGGCTATTACTATTAGGTTGTTATTTGGGATGGTAGCAAACCATGGTGATCGGGAGGACTTGTCTCTTTGTGGGCCCTCTGCACAGGTGCTCTGGAGACTCCCAGAGGAGCCATCAACTGTAGTTAGCTGGGAATGAGGCAGGATGGGGCACTAAAAGAGACTTGGCTATGCATTTAGTATGACTGCCAATTCCTGGCTGTGTGACGTTGGTCAGTGTCTTAACTTCTCTGATCCTCAGTATCCTCATCTATAAAATAGGGGTCAAAACCACCTCCACTAGATTTTTTTGTCTGGCAAGTAGAGGGTGCTCTATGAACCACTGTCATTTTCCTCCCACTTTTGGCTGTCGTTCTCAACTTGAGTATGAGCCTTCCTACTTTATTGGGCACCTGAGGGTATTAGGAACCAAGCACCTTCCTTAACTATAACAGAGTCACTGACCCTGTGCAATGAGGATTATGCTCTGGGTTTGCTTTACTAGAGATGGGTCTATTTCTCTGCTCTTTCCTGATGGGGTCCAAAGCCAGCCCAGGAGGAGTGGGGGAGATAGAGAAAGGAGCAGGTCCCACCCCAGGCAAAGCTGCCCGATGCAGGGCTGAGCAGGAGCATGGGTACCTTAGAGGCATCTCAGCCAGTCTCACCTGATGTGGTTGATGATGAGGTTGGTTGGGGGAATGAAGAAATCATCCACTCCTGCAAAGGGTGTGCGGATGAGGTGCTGACCTTGGCTGGCGCTGGCTTCTGTGATCACCTACAACACAGAGCGGGAATTCTTGTGAGGGCCCATCCAGGGTTGAAACCCAGAGACATCTGTATGTTCAGGTGGAGACCCCCAGCAGAGAGGCTGCTTGGGAGACAGAGGACTGATGAACCCCAGTTTCCAGGAAGGGGCAGGAGCAAAGTGGGTGCTGCTCGGGCACATCACAGGCAGGGACCCATCCTTCCTGGGAGGAGAAGTGGTGAGATGGGAGTGAGTCCCCAAGTGCTCGCTCCTTTTTGGTCAGTCCCGTCTGTACAGCACTTTGTTAGTCACTGCGTGTGCACGACAACAGAATGGGGACCTGGGGGATGGTGGTGGGTTTCTGAGGGAGGTCCCAGAACTGAAACATCCCTCTGATTGCTCAAAGACAACCTCCTCCTCCAACGGAGAATCCCACCTTTTCAATACCTATGGCACCCTAGGGAAAGAGGGAGAGAGCTTTTAATAATGAAAATGTTAGATGGTGGAATTGTTTACTGGGAATTTATTTTTCTTTGATGCCAGGTGCCTGGGCCATTTTTGTTGGATATCTCTGTCATGCGCTGTTCACAGAGGTGTTCTCTGAGAGTTGTGACTTCAGAATTGACTAGAGAAAGAAGGAGTCCTGCAGGCATGCCATTCAGAGATGCTGGTCATGTTAGTTAGACGTCTTGCTGTTAGAATGCCGGGGAGAGGTTCTGGTTTCACAAAGGGGACTTGCTGTGAAAAGTCAACAATTAGGCCCTGTGCTTTGCACAGATTGGTAGTGACCAAGCACAGCTCCTTCTGTTTCCCCGGAGGTAGTGCTTTCTCCCCTCTGGACTGGGCAGGAGGTGATGAGAACCATTCCCTGCTGTGTGTCCATGCTGTATCTGTGTCAGAGGAAGGGCATGCTGGCAGTTCAGAACAGAGCCGGTGGTGTGTGAGCTTAGACAGGATGAGAGGCCTAGAGGCCCTGCCATAATGGCCTTGTGGTCAGGCTAGGTAGCCCACCGTCACCTACTGAGGCCCGAGCCAGACAGCCCAAGTCCCCCTGCCTTCTGCACAGGCTCATTGCCTTCACGTTCTAGGCCATTGACCAGAAAGTAGCAGAACTGCAGCCACATGAGGGGCCTGGCTAGCTTATGGGCAGTTTGGGCACAAGGGCCCCACGGACAAGCCTAGACCCTCTGGGCAGTACAGGAGGCAGATGCTGGACTCCTGGACAGGGAGGTGAGACACTTTCCCTGGTCATGAGATTGTGGCTGTGTGTGTGCAGGAGAAAGGGTCCAGATTTCTGCAGCCCAGGGCTGGGCCTGCAGCATGAGGGCAGTTTCTGGTGGGGGCTGGTAACTCACATGGCTTGGAGCTATGGCTGCTTTTATCTTCCAGGAATAGGATTGCCTTCTGCCTTTTACTATTATGACCCAAATGAATAGCACCTGGCCTGCCTCTTTAGGAGGGGTTGAGGTTTGAGTTTCTTTTGATCGTGCTTCTCTCTGGGGGTGGGCAGGCAGAATCCTGGATTGCGATGATGCACGCTGTGATTATGACTTGGAGAAGTTCTAAAGATGCATTAGGTTATTTTCCTGTGATTTTTCTTAAGATGGCCAATTGATATTTCTATGGCAAGTCCATAGGGAAAAAACTCATAGAACTAAGCATTAAGAAAATATCCACTAAGCATTAAGAAAATATCTCTAGATCTTAGAGAGTCTGAGGGAAAATGCTAAAGAATTCCAAGAAGCCATGCAATCATTGCTTGATATCAGGCCTGTCATTTTAGCTTACAGTAGAGATGGAAAATTACAGGCTGTCATCGGTCAGTGTCATGCACGCTTCACCACTCTGACACCCTATATTCAGGGGTTACTTCATCAAATGTAGCATCATGGGCCATTGAATTGATGTGGGCTTGTCAGCCTCGCCTTTCTGAGTCACAAGTTCCTTCTTTGCCTTTTCTTGTGTCCTAGCACAAAGCTGGGTCCATAAGTGCCCCAGAGGTAACCATCAGGCCCCTGAATTTGCAGGCTCTATGGGCTTAGTTCAGGAGGTACACAGCTATAGCTGAATATCAGGATATGTCAGTTGGTTGTCAGGGTGGGGATAGGAAGGCTAGGCATCTCCCTCAGAGGGGTGGACAAAGCCAGCTGAGAGGTGACACTGGAGGGGAGGGCAACAAGGTATCCAGTCGGACAGGCTGAGCAGCAGTTAAAAGCTGGGCCTGGGAAAGAGTGAGCAAGATAGTACCGGGCAGAATTTAGGTAGATGCCAAATGTTCAGAAACTAGTTGCTGGGGGAGGGCCTTAGTGGAATGAGCCTTATTTATAGAAATACCTTCATGTCATCACAGCAAAGGTTGTTTAACAAATCCTCTAGTGTTGCACATTTAGAAATATTAGGATATTATTTTTAATGTTTTGCAAATATAAATAATTCAATAACACATAATGTTGCAGATGAATCTTTGTCCACATCCATGATTATGGACTTTGGAAAAATTCTGAGAAGTCAAGTTGCTGAATCAAAAATTACTCTTTTGAGGCTTTTGGTTCACATTTCCAAATTGCTCACCAGAAAGGCTATGCCAGTTGACTCTTCCAGAAGCAGCTTTTGCAAATACAGTACTGGTTTCCTTAACCCTAGCCCACAGTGATGAAGGTAGGCTTATTCAAATTATTTCATTGCATATGTGTGATAATGCATTTCCTAGACTTTCCAATTATGGTGATGATGGGCATCATGGTCCAATTTCTCATCACGTTAAAATGCTCTTAGTGTTTTGTTGTTTAGGCAAAGATTTGCTATTGGTTTTGGGGAAATAGTCTTTATTATATTTAAGGAATTTCCTTCTATATTTAGGCTTTTTGTTAAGAATATCTGCTGTATTTAATTAAATGCCTTTTCAGCATTTACTGAAAACATTCTACATTTTTTCTCTGTTAATTTGTTGGTGTTATGAATAATGTTGCCTGGTTTCCTGAGAGTTGAACCATCATTGCATCCTGGGCATGTGTTCTCTGCTTGAGCATTTAGATGCACTGCTGGACTCTATTTCTAATAATATGTTTAGAATTTTGCTTCTGTATTCATAATCAGTTTTTATAATTATACTAGCTCTTTAAACAAACTAAGGAGCTATATTTTTCTCTATGGCTTAGGATAGTTCAAATAATGTTTGAATTATCTATATTTTGATCACTCGATAAAACTCAGTTGTACATTTTTCTACAATAGATCTTTACTCTTTAAAAAAAAAAAAAAATCTTCTGGGGCCGGCCCGGTGGCGCACTGGATAGTGCGCCGCTTGGGAAGCGCGGCAGCGCTCCCGCCCGAGGGTTCGGATCCCACATACAGACCGGTTCCCGCTCACTGGCTGAGCGAGGCGCGGGAGCAACGCTGAGGGTTGCAATCCCGTTGCCGGTCCCCGGTCCGGTACGGGGGCAACACTGAGGGTTGCGATCCGTTGCCGGACACAGAAAAAGACAAAAAGACAAAAAAAAAAAAATAAAATAAAATAAAATAAAAAAAATCTTCTATGGTAATTGCTCTATTTCAAGTTTCCCCCCAACTTTTAAAAAAATTTGCCGCCCCAGAGTTGCAACAGTATAGTAGTATTTCCTGATTCTTTTCACCCTTCTGTACCTGCAGTGGGATTCCCTTTCTCATTTTGTCTATTTTGTTCTCTTTTTTTGTTATCTGGATTGTGAGGAATTAATCCATTTTTCTATGTATTCTTTTTTTGCTTTGTTTTCTATTAGTTTGTCTTTATTAATTCCTTTTTGCTAGTCACTCTGTTCTTTTTCTAATTTCTGAACTCAGTAAGCTACAAACCTTCCTTAGGTATGGATTTCTCTGTGTCCCATAGGTTTTGATGTAAAATAGTCTCTTTTTCATTGTATTTGAGACAATTTATAATTTCCCTTTTAATTTCCTCTTTGATCCAATAGCTATCTGGGAATGTTTTCTTCATTATCAGATAATGTAGCCTATAAATCTACTTTTACAAAAATTTTAAAGTTTTTTTTTTTGTAATTAGTGATACACTTTTATATTTGTAGACATATGAAAAAAAATTCTGTTTGACAGATGAAAGTTTTTCTATATATATATATATTAAACTGTGTTCTTTGTATTATTCAGTTTTCCTGTCATTATTTTGTGTCCTTCGTATGTACAATTTAAGTACATTTTAAATCAAGTTTTTGTATTTTCAGTCACTCTTGTTTTATGGATCAGTTATGTTGTTTGATGTATATTCGCTGTTCATCATCACATAATCTCTCTCAATGGGACGTTTACTGATTTTAACTTAAGTTCTACCTTGACTAATATTAATATTACCAGTCGTATATATCTTTTTGTTTACCTATCATCATTAGTCTCACCCATTTAAATTAAATCTTTTATTCTTACTTTGTTTTATGTGTGTTTCTTATAAAGTTGGTGCTACTTTTGTTTCCTTTTTTTTTTTAAGCTCAATCTAATCATCTCTGCTTTTGAGAGGAGAATTCAGTTTGCCACATTTGGAGTAATGAGATACTCACTTCTCAACTAATTTCAAACAACATCCTCTCTTATCCCAGTAAAGTGAGATTTTTGAGTATTTTTACTCCTTCCTTCTGCCTTCACTCCCTGCTTTTATTTTTACTGAAATGATTTATCTTTAGTTACGGCTTAGTATCAGAATTCTTTTTAGTGTGTCTCTCCTAATTCAAATATCCTTACTTAGCACTTATTATACATTTCCAGATAGTCTCTTTTCATTCATTTTACTTTCAATTTTAGATCTTCCTCTCTTGATTCATTACTTACCACATCTCCTCTCCCTCTTTCTCCATCTCGATGTCTCTGATCGGGTTCATCTTGTGTTTGTCCAGTATTTTTCCTCAGATGGGGCACGCGTGTTTGCTGCCCGAGTTCTTGCATACCCTTACATCTTTTGTCCTGACAGGTAAGTGATGTCTTGGCTGGAAACGGGACTCTTGGGTTTTCAGCCCTTTTATCTTGGTAGCATGTAGATGCGAGTCCATGGTCTTCCAGCTGCTATTGCAGGTGAGAAGTCCGATGACAATCTGATCGGTTTTTCATGTATAGGCAACTTCTTTTTTCTGTCCTAAAACTTGTAAGATTTTCCCTTTATTCTTGAAATTCCAGAATTTTATCAATAAGGGCAGATATGTGTCATTTCTCATCAATCTAGCCTGAAATGTGTAGATCCCTTTCAATCGACACGATTAAGTTTCCTCAACGTGAAAAATTTCTTCCAAACTTACTTAACGTTTGACTCCTTTCCAACTGTTACCTTTTCTTTCTAAACTTCTATTGTTCCCACTTCAGGTCTCAATCTCTTCACATGTTTGCTCTGTGATTTGAGAGAGATTTTCTTGCTCTTTATCTTTCAGGCTACCATTTTCACCTTCTTTACTGCAGTTTTAAACTGGGAATCATTTTCATTCATTTTTAGCCCCCACCCCACCCCAAGATCTTTTTCTGGTGGCCCCTCCCTTGGAATTTCCTTAAGTGCTTTCTTAGTATTTGCTATGGTCTTCCTGGCAGCTCTATGTCTCGGGGCTGATACTCTGTTCCGAGTGACCTTTATTATGACTCCTAGGCTCTCTGATGGGTTGTTATTATTTTTGTCAGTTTATTGGGCCCAAGACTGGTTGGTGGTGTCCCTTGAGTGACAACAGTCTCAGTTTATGGGAAGTGAAGTACAGTCTTCTCCCTGGTCCGGCAGTGCAGGGGTAGGTAGGTAGTCAGTCCCCAGGAGGAAGCTTCCCCAGACCTTGGTCCTCCTGGTCTCTTACCAGTCTTGGGAATAGGGTGGTCTTGGCTCCATTTGTAGCCCTTCTCAGCTGGGGTTCGGAGAGAGAATTAAACCATAACGTCCAAGGCATCCATTGTATGTAATGAATTAACTTCTCTTCTGTGCATCTAGAATAGTTCTATGTACCTCTTTGAGAGAATTGGGAAAACAGGCATTCGATTACTTTTTGTAATGCTTAATCCCTCTTGTGGCTCCCTGATGAGAAAGGCTGGGACAGGCATACTCCATGCAGGGTTGCTGTTGACATTCCCTGGCCGATGGAGGAAGAAATCACACGGATCTCCAGAGCCTCAGCTCTTTCCAGGAGGCAGTGCAGCCCAGTGGCTGAATCTGTGGGCTCCAGAGCCACATTGCCTGGACTGGGCCATAGGCACGTAATTTAACTTTTCTGTACCCTGGCACACTGTGGGCACTTAGTAGCTGTGCTTTCGCTTATGGCATCATTGCTGCTGCTGTTGCTGCTGCTTTATTGGCCAGCTTCAACAATATTCTCCAGCCTGCCCCGCCCAAGCTGAAGAAAGCCCTGTCTGCCTCCCTTCTAACTGCCTGGACCTCAGGGCCTCATTCTGTTTCACCACAGAAGCTACTGGCTCAGGAGAGTCAGGTATTATGGGGTGGGGCTGGTTGGAGACTGGGCACCACATTCTGGTTGTCACAACATCAGAATCCTATCCATTGTCAGTATCACTGTCTTTAACAACAGGCCTGGCTGAAGATACCCTGTTAATTGCCTTAGGGGAGTGTTGGCCTGAGGCTGTTTCCTATTCTATCCTTGAACCTTAATGGACATAATTTGGATAAATGTGATGAGCCACCTAGAGACATTTATTTTATAGGGAGAGAGTCTTCTTTCTGTGGAGTGGCTATCAGCCTCCATGTGCTCAACATACCTGAAGGCTTGGTTGGGACTTGTGCACATCCCCCCAGCTCAGGACCCACACTTGGTCATGCGACTTGTCATAGGACAGCTTGGCTGGCAGAGGGTCCACACCTATGGACTTGAAAAAAAAATAGTGACAAGTTGGTCATCACTGTTGCGGAAGCTGACTTGGTCATTTTGAGGCTTCGTGTGCTTGGACATCACTCCTGGGTGAGGGGAGAGCTAGCCTACGGGCCTTGCCAATGATCCTTTTTGGGAACCCAGGGCAGAAACGGCCCTCTGGCTTTGTCCTCAGAGGCATAAAATTGATGGTCAATAACGTTCTCCTTTTTAAAAACAACATTTCTTGCATGTTTTACTTAAAGGGACCTAGACCAACGTGGCAAAAGCCAGAACACTGAGGCTTTAAGTTTTCTACTTAGGAACCAGCTCCAGGGTTCCTTCACTCCTTCTGGCAGCACTGTGGGCCTCTTGGACCTTCAACATCCTTCCCCAGGCTGCTCTGTGCCTGGATTCTTGTGAGTTGGCCCTTCCCCCGGGTTATCTAAGGTGAGCTTTGAGATCACCTGTTATCACCTTTCTCTCTCTTTATTCTACTCTGAGCCTCTGTCTTGTACATCCTTCAACTGGAGCCTCAGGGATTCAGACGATAGCATAAGACAGACTCTTTTTTAACTGTAGCAGCTGAAACTCTGCTATGTCCTGAGGATGTAGCTTCTCTTGTGGCCCAGTCAAATGAAGCTGTTTCTTCTTCTTATAGTATAGTTCTATAAGTTCAAAAACTCTGTTCTGTAATGTCCATACCACTAGGCTAGGGCCCCTGCTCTTCTTGTCATTGGCCAATGTCCTAAGTTACTTCTTTTGTTCACTAAAGATGTTGACACATGGCTCACCGTCACTTCTCTACCACTGACTTTGTTACCAGGTTTAGTGCCTTCAAACCCATGTGGATGACTCGTCCAAAGCCCTGCTTTCTCAGTTTCATTTTTGTTCCAATTATCTTTTCCTCCTCCCCACCTCAGCCGCCATGATGTATATTCCCTGTCAATATAATTTCTGAAATTTCAATTTCAATTAACCATGTTCTAGCCTTTCTGATCTGTGGGAAAGGATCCACTGGTCAAACTATCTCTAAAGAACTGTCTAGTGTCCACCTCTCCTTAACATTCCCACCAAGTTTCTGTCTTGATCACTTTGTGATACTTCTCTTACTTGACATTTCAACAAGATTCCACATGGTTAACTATTCTCTTCTAGAAGCACATTCTTCATTTGGCCTCCAACTTCCTGGCTTCCCTTCTTCATCCTGACTTCTAAATGTTGGCATGTCCCAGGCCTTCATCTTGGAACCGCTTCTCTCTTTCTACGTCCTTTCACTGGACAAGCTCATCCAATACCATGTTTCTAGTAACCCTCTATACTTTGATGACTCTAGAATTCGCTCATCTGTTGGTGATCTCAACCTAACACATACAGAATGGAACTCTAGATTCTGCCCACTCCTGCTCTCTGCTGAAGTAGATTTCTTCTCTAGTCATCATCATCTTTGACATCTCCCTTTACTTTCTTGCTCTAATTAAAAACTCTTGTCCTCTGAAGCCTCATGTAGAGGCTGTTTCTATTTTCCTAGACTTCACATACCCCAGGTTCTGTCTAGCCGCCAGCTGCCCCTCCTTGTTCCTATCACCTGCTGGCTTCTTGGCCACTTCCCTTCATTTATTTACCAAAGGCTTTAGCACCTGACACTAGTTTTCTCTACCCCAAACTTCCTAACATATCAGTAATGATACCATCCTCGCAAGTTTCTGGCTCTCTCTCTCAAAACCCCCTCCTGACTACACATTCTCCTCCAACTACCTCTTTGTCTGCCCTCTTCATAGCCAAGCTTCCCTGAAGTTCAGAGTGGAGCAATCTCTTTCTTTTCTGCTTAACCTCCTCCTATTGGATTTCATGTTCTCATTCTGAGATGGTATGGAGCAGGAGGCTGAAAAGCTAAAAAAAACCCTCCTAAATTCAAAACAGAATTTCCATAGTTTCAACATGTGGAGGAGCAAAGGCAGAAAAGAGATCCCAGCAAATAAGCCCTAAGATTAGAGGTGAATCAGGAGCAGAGTGAGCCTTACAGAAACTTCAAGTCAGCTTTGATTCAACTTACTTCCTGATTAAACTAAAGTGATTAGTTCTCTACTCTCTCTGCCTAGCAGAGGAAAGGGTAAACCCTCTCTGCTGGATTATAGCCATCTAAAGTCTCTAATTTTTTATATAAAATGTTTTACATTAAAAAAGTTACTAGGCATTCCAAGAGACAGATGATATGACTGAAAACAACGTGAAATAGACCATATAGTGAGCCATAAAGAAATAATTAAGAATTTAAGAATTAAGAATTTATATATGAAAAGAGGAATTAAGTAGATTTTTTTTTTGTGGCTGGATGGTACAGTGATCCAAACCTTTGACTTTGGTGTTATCAGCACCACACTCTACTGAGTGAGTTAACCGGCTAGCCCCCCCAATTAAGTAGAAATTTTAAAAGTGAAAATGCAATACCTGAAATAAGAACTAAATTAGTAGGTTTTGTTAAGCCTGTATTTGACATAGCAGAAGACAGGGTTAGCAAACTGAAAAACAGGTTGATAGAGCATATCCAAACTGAAGCAGAAATAGATATGTGGGACACAATGGAAGTTCTAACTTTTAAAAAAAGAGTTCCTGAAGAAGAGGTAAGAGAGAGAGAGAGAATGAGGCAGCAGAGTATTCGAAGAAATAATGGCTGAGGATTTTCCAATCTGATGAAAGATAATATACATATTCAATAATTTCTGCAAACCCCAAATCAGAATAAATACAAAGAACACCATACCCAGGCATGTCATACTAAAGACCAAAGAGAAGAGAGAAAAAAAAAATACATTACCTTCAAAACAGCAACAATAATACTGACAGCCCATCCATAAAAATGACAGAAGGTAATGGAATGACATCTTAAGATGTTGAAAGAAAATAATTGCCAATCTAGAGTTCTATACCCAGTGAAAATATACTTTAGAAATAAGAAAAAAAAAAAAGTTTTCAAGCAAACAAAAACTGTGATAAGCAGATCTACACTAAAAAAACTTAAAATATGACCTCAGATAGAATTATGAACTTAAGGAATAAAGAGCAATGAAAAGGGTAAATATGTGGGTGAATATAAATTCCTATTGACTGTACAAAATAATAATAATCATGTCCTGTGGGGTTAAATTACATCTAGAGTTAAATTCATTGCCACAATAATGTAAAAGTCAGGAGGAGGTTAAAGGAGTTAAAGTGTTCTAGGTTTCTAGCATTTTTAGGGAAGTGAAGTAACAATTTGTATTATAGTATATTGATGCAAGGATGCATGTTGTAATCTCTACAGTGTTAATAACAACATCAACAATATAAAAGAGTGCATCTTCAGCAAGCTAATAGAAGGAAAAATAGAATAAAAATGTTTCATAAATTCAGAAGAAGGAAAAAAGGAGGAAAAAAACCCAACATAAAAAGATAGGTCAAATAAAAAAACAGTAAGACAATAGATGTAACTCAACTCTATAATTAATTACATTAAATATAAATAGATCAAATACTCTGAGTAAAAGACTATGATTATTAAATTAGATAAAACCCACACTCCAACTACATGTGCCTTTATAAAAGAGCACTTTAAATATAATGACATAGGACTCTCTCTCAGGGACACGCGCTCTCGGCCCCAGCAACTCGCTCCAAGTTCCCTCCCTTGCTCTTCGGCGAAGCCTGCCTGAGCCCTCCCACTCGGTGCAGAGAGAACGGTCGCGACTGCCACCAGCTGGGCCCTCCGTGGCCGCGCGGCCTGGGCCCGCTAGTCCAGCCCCGTCCGCCCCGTGCCTGCGGCCCCGCGGCGGCAGTGGTGGCGAAGACTCGGTGGCTGCGGCAGCCCGCGCTCGGCCCTCGGTGCCTCGTGGGCCCAACCCTCCTTCCTCGCCAGCCTGGGGAGCCTGGTGCCCAGGATGTACGGTACAGCAGCTCGGTGGCTGCGGCAGCCCGCGCTCGGCCCTCGGTGCCTCGTGGGCCCAACCCTCCTTCCTCGCCAGCCTGGGGAGCCTGGTGCCCAGCCTGGGCCTCACCGCTGGGGCCAGGGATGTGGCCGAGCTGAATTTGACAAGTCACATTCCCTGGGAAGACCACATGAGGATTTACTGACTGCTCCCATAAGCACATGCTCACACGTTGTTGCGAGGTTGCTTGCACAGAGGAATCCAAGACAAACTTTGGTATTACAGCTCTTTATTAGAAATCCCCAACTGGACATCCAGAGCATCATTCTTGTTCGTCCTGAGTCTGGAATTGGAAGCTACCAAGACTTTGTAAGGCCTGAAAGCGCAATAAAAGATATTTCCTGCTACAGAGAGCACTTTAGGAAAGGAAAGCTTCCCAGTGACCTCTGCCTGCTGTCCATAAATTGTTCATTCCCCCTTCAGACTTCAAGATGGCGACGGGTCTGGAGTGGCCGTGCCAGGAGACAGCGTGACCCTGAGAAGTGTGCGCTGTGATACCAGAGTACTATTTGCATTTCCAAGAGCAACAAAAAACCAATAAATCTTTGAACAACTAACCTACAATGACAAACAAGCAACTACAGGTACGAGGTTTTAGGACCGTCACAAAAGAAGATGTGCCCAAAAGAGAGTGCCCAAGGCATGCTGCGGGTTTGAGCGAGCAGCCCGAGACAACAAAGGCCAAGTAAGCCAGCAGAGACGACACAGAAACGGAGTGGAAGGCGCCAGACCAGCCCAACTCTGCGAGCACTGTGAGTCACCCCCAGTCCAGCCCCACTTGCGGGGCAGAAGCCCGACTGGTCTCCGCCCACCTGGCTCATGCCTACCACACCAGGCTAGGCGCCTGCAATGCACTGCCTCCATTTTCTTGGGTGGGGGCAGAGATGGCTGGCTCAGATCAGGCAGGCCAGCCATCTTTGCTTGGTGCGGCTCCTCACTGAGACGTGCCACATGCGTACCTCGACGCAGGGCCCCCTGGGGCCTGTGGACCGGCCTACAATCCCACTCCCCCCGCGGATCCCTGACGGGGCTGGTAACATGGGGAGCCTCCGGCCAGTGTCAGGAGGGCAGGGAAGAGGAGCCCGCCCAGATTGTCTCTCCACCACAGCCTGGGCTTCGGCCCCAGGTAAACTCCCTGTTTCCGGGAGGCAGATACCATCTCTGTGGGCCTCAGTTCGGAAGAACCCCTAACTGATTTCTGGTTGGGAGAGGGAAGCCTGGAGCGCTCTGGAGCTAGATTGAAGCTGCCGGAGAGCTCTCCTGGAGGGCGCCCAGGTCGACCCGTGCTGGGGGGATTCAAAGAGGAACTGTGTGCTGTGGGACTCTCCCCCAAGGAGCTCACACCTGCAGTTGGAGAGACTAGACACCTGAAACTCTTCCTGGGCAGGGTGGGGCAGGGCACAGCTTTGATGTCTCAGCTGAAAGATGAGGTTTGCAGAAGACACGCCTCAGCCCTGTTCTGAGCGCACAGAGTGGGGAGGGGTCCGGCAAAAGGAGGCGGAGTCTTGGGGAAAAAAAAAATTACACACCCTGCGGGAGCCCTTTTCAAGGCTCAACAGCCCCACCTAGTGCACACAGAGTGGGAAAATGCCCCGATAGCGAGGTGCAGAACACACATACCTTGCGGGACTGGCAGGGCAGTTTCTAGCAACTTAGTATAGTTCAAACTGACCAGAGAGGAGACTTCCCGCAGAGGTCCAAGACCCGAGTGAAACTCCCTNAACTTGAACTCTCTTAGGGAAAAGAGAGGGATGTATTGACTCATAAAATAAAAGGAAAGGTTGAATAAATAAACACAGAACAGCAGAGATGCAACACAAAAGAAACAGCAACTACAAACCTGTGTTTTCATTTCCCAGTTGGAAGCAACAAGGGAATTTATAATTTGGCTTCTGAGGAAGGCTTCTGTTTCAGTATCGCAACAACCAGCTTCTAAAGGCAACGTAACTTGTTTGTAATTTGGGA